GGAATGACCAGCTCTGGTGGCTGCTCCACCCCACTTCCCTTGTCCTCAGCGAGGAAGAAGGTGTTTCGGCAACTTTGGGCAAGTAGGGATCCTTCAAGTTTCTTCCAGATAAATAACTGAGACATGCTTATGCAGAGGTACTCCCTCTATTTTTATCTGTTGCTATCTGAAGGTAGGGAGAAGCTCTTTTATTTATTTTAGAGAGGCTGACCACCTGTGGACTCCACAAAATGGCTGCCATAGCAAGAATGGCTTTCAGTCCAAAATTTAGATTAAACTGCCTGATCTCCTCACTGATTCCGCCTGTTGTCTATCACATATCAATTTTGTCGGTTTTTCATTCCAACTGTTAAGAAAGTGATCTTGTGTGCTTTTCCTCTCCTTTTTTCTCCATTTCCTTCCCCCATCACACCACCCTAGTTCAGGTTCAAGATTAAGGAACTCTGTCCTTATTATTTTCCATTCTGATAACCTCTGTAACTCTTCAAGTTTCATACTGTCCAACATTGGGTCTTAGAGCATTTACTCTCTCATCCAGCTCTCTAGTCAACTGTTCCTTCACCATCTCCTTTCTGAGCTATTTAGGAATCCAGAGTCACTGCCTAGTTATATTCCACCATCTTTCTCTCTCCCTACTTGACATTTTCAAGAGGCTGAGGTAGGAGGATAAAGTTCAAAGCCAGTTTCAGCAAAAGCAAGGTGCTAAGCAACTCAGTGAGACCCTGTCTCTAAATAAAATACAAAAAGGGCTGGGGATGTGGCTCAGTGGTCAAGTGCCCCTGAATTCAATTCTCAGGAAGATCCAATAAAAAAAAAGAATTTATCATATTGTACACCTTAAGTATGTACAGTTTATTGTAGTTCAATTAGACCTCATGAAATCTCTTAAAAACACAACAAAGTCAAGCATAGTAGCACATGCCTATAATCCCAGCCACTAAGCAGGTAAAGTAGGAGGTGCTATTAATTAGAATATTAGATGTTCTCCAAAAGCTCATGTGAAAATCAATGCAAGAAAGCTTAGAGGTGAAATATTTGGGTTATGAGAGCCTTAACCTGGTCATTGTATTAATCCACTTAGATTAACTGGGTGATAAATGTAGGCAGATAAGGTGTGGCTGGTAGAGGTGGGTCATTAGGGACACGCCTTTAGGGATTAGGGATATATATTTTGTCCCACATCTACAGTGTGCCCCTCCCTCCCCCTTGTTTCCTGGTGCCACATCCTAAGCAGCTTTTCTCCACCACACACTCCAACCATGATGTTCTGCCTCACCTCCACACCCAAAGAGTAGAGTTGGTCATCTATGAACTGAGACCTCTGAAACATGAGTATCAAATAAACTTTTCATACTTTAAAATTATTCTTTCCCAGTCTTTTCGTCACAGTGACAAAAAAAGCTAACAGGAGGATTTCAAGTTTAAGGCCAGCTTGGACAACTTAGCAAAATCCTGTCTCAATTAAATTTAAAAACAGCTGGGGACGTAGCTCAGTGGGGTAAAGCAGTGCCTAGCAGGTTAGCATGTGTGAGGCACTAGGTTTCAATCTTCAGTTTCATAAAACACATACACATATACACACACACATACACACACACACACACACACACACACACAGTAATATGACCTCTTCCTTTCAGGTTTAAAAGAAAATTTGTATTCTCTTTTTCTTTGTAAATTGTTAAGTAAAAGTTATATATTGATGGTATACAACATGATGTTTTCATTTATCTACATAATACGGAATAGGCAAACTGAGCAATTTACATATTTATTAACTCATATTTATTATAAGAACATGTAAATTATTGTCTAAGAAATTTTCAAGTACACATTATTATTAATTGGAATCACAATGTTGTAAAATAGATCTCTTGAACTTTTTTTTTTCCAGTTTTGGGTGGACACAACATCTTTATTTTATTTTATGTGGTGCTGAGGATCGAACCCAGCGCCCTACGCATGCCAGGCGAGCGCGTTACCGCTTGAGCCACATCTCTAGCCCAAGCTCTTGAACTTTTTCATCTTGTGTAACTGAGGTTTCATGCTCTTTGATCAATATCTCTTCAATCCCTAGTTGTTGTTTTTTGTTTGTTTGTTTTTAGTTGTAGAACACAATACCTTTATTCCATTCATTTATTTTTATGTGGTACTGAGGATCAAACTCGGGGCCCTGCGCATGCTAGCCGAGCGCTCTACTGTTGAGCCACAATCTCAGCCCCTTAACCCCTAGTTCTTAATAACCATTATTTTATTGTTTTTATGCATTTGACTTTTTTGGATTATATATATAAGTGAGATCAATGCATTGTCTTTCTGTTATTCTCTTTCAACATGATAGTAATACTTCCACGGCATCCCACACAACAATAATCTCTACATTGGGGGGTGAGGGTTACCAAGAATTGAACTTAGGGGTACTTTACCACTGAGCTACATCTTCAGCCCTTTCTAAATTTTTTATTTTGAGATAGGGTCTCACTCAATTCCTTACAGCTTCACTGAGTTACTGAGACTAGCCTCAAACTTGCAATTGAGTTAAGTTGCTGGGATCAGAGGTATGTGCCATTAACCCTGGCTAGTCTCTATATTCTTAAATCATTAAGAATTTCAATGCCAGGCACTCATTAAGGTTACAGAGACACAAATACACTAGCAAGAATATATTCCCCAAACACCTACTTCCATACCAAATTACAGGAGTCCTGCTCTGCTTTCTACCTTTCTAAGGAAAAGGATATCATTCCAGTCATCTCTATCTTTGCATCACTAATGACTTACCGAAAGATACTCTTCAAAAAAAATTTTTTTATTGCTCTCACACCCTTCAATCTTCCACATTACCTTTCTGCTTTGCCATCTTCCTGTTTCCCTTGATAACAGTGATGTTTGTGATTCTATATTTCATTTTATTTCATTTTCTCACATCTACCAGGTATTTTCTAAAGATATATTTGAGGATAAGAAAACTATTTCTATACACTTACCTCAAGTACTGGTCCAGCTCCAAGAATAATCTGTTCTACTCCACTGGCAAATCCTTTCTGACTGAGTGCAGTAAGGTGGTGAATAAGAAAGTTTGTGCTTTGAGTCTTCCCAGAACCACTCTCTCCTGAAATCACAATGCACTGATTCTTTTTACGCTGAAGCATAGCATGATAAGCTACATCAGCCACTGCATATATGTGGGGCTCAAGTTTTCCCAATTGGTGGTTATCATACATTTTGACGTATTTGGGGTTATAAATAGGAAGAAATTTGAATGGGTTAATAACTATTAGAATACTGCCAACGTAGGTATAAATTTTTTCATGCTTAAAGCGATTTCGTAGGTTTTCTAAGAGAGTTTTCTCATTCAAGTCAGGTAAGCTACATAAATCATCAAAGTCTTTCTGTTGAGGCTGTGGAAGAAAACCTCGTTCCATCATCCTACGTCGTTCTTCCGTTACCCGTAGCCATGACTGAAGGCTACCATAATGGATTGATCCATCAAGGTTTTTTTCCCGCAGAAGAAAGCGGTAGTCCTCTCCACTTAAGCGATTTTCCAGAGCCATTCGTGGCCACAACATCATTCGCTGAACTGGACAGTCTGTTGGATTGAGAATCCATTCTTCTCCACCAAATTCCTTTACCTCTGCTAAAACATAACATTTTGTTTTGTCTAGATGAAGTTTGTTTATAAGAGTGTCAATCACCTCAGCAGCTGTGGTGTTTTTCCTGGCAGGAACTGGACAGTAGATTGTCCCTTCTGAAATTGTCCCAGGATATATACGTAATGTATGTTCATTATCCTCAAAGCGTCGTCTTCCTCCATCACTTATATTCATATTGGATCCTGTCCCATCAGCATAAATAGTATGTGTTGTTCAAGATCATGCAAATCATTTTCTTGGTAAAAAAACTGTAATATAAAAGACGTGAAACATTTACAAGTCGTATTAAACACTGCTGTCTGACGCTCAAAAAAGAAAGACTTAACAAACACATTCATTACATACATCTTTTAGAACACAAAATTCTAACTCTCAGTACAGGAACAAGTACTGCAAATAATCTCATTGAGACTACATCCTATTGTTCAAATAATGAGTATTTTCTAAAACAGTAACTGGCAAAAAATATATACATACATTTCAATGTTTTGTTTTATCAACAATTCAGAATTTAAAAAGTACAATATCCTCTGATATTTCAAATGATTCTAAGTTACTTGGAATTAAAACCAAGTTTGTTCTTTATTCACTAAGGACTGGACTAAAAGACAGAATAATTATACAAAGCTAGTTACCTTGCACCCAAATTTCTTAAAGATGATGCAAAAACAAGAAAGAATGCTTTCAGTGGTGCAAAAACTTTGTGAAATACATTAATTACAGAAAGATCAGAAAATAGCATTATAATCAAGAAAGCAATGAGAGAAACCTGTTATGTAAATAGACATAGTTTCAAAGAACTCTGGGTTTTGACTCTCCTCTTTGCCCAAGATGGGAGGACAGACAAGTTTGACCAGAGTAAGAAAAAGATTCTGCTGGACTTACTGAGCCAAATTGAAAATATTATATAAGTAGGCACCATTATAAATTTATTCAACCTCCTTTTGTCTTTTGATGTTAATATTCTACCTTTCCACCTAACCTCATTCAATTCCACATACCCTATCAATCTTCTCATATTCCCCAAACACTACTCTTTTACACCTCACTCAGAAAATAATTACCTACAAATGGTTTCTCAACCTCAATTTATTCTTATTTTCATTTCATCTCTATTCTTCAGTTGCTGTGTAGAGAAAAATTGTTCCACATCCTTTCCAGAACAAAACCTATTTCTTATTATCTCCATTAGTACTATGTCCTACCAAAAAAAAATTCTCATTTATCATCAACCTTCCTCTTTTTAGTTATTTCATCCTTTAACATATAATGTGCTATTTTTAAAAACAATAAAAATATTCAGTTATTTCAATATCATACTACCAAATATTTGTCAAAATCCTCTAATCAAGAAATTTTGTTATATTTTTCCTAGATGATATTTCAAATATACAGATTATGGAATATATAAAAAGCAACCATATATCTACTGCTCAAATTCAACAAGTTTGAAAACTGCTATGCTCACTCAAGATCATTTTTATAAACACATGTATTAAAAACAGTTAAAGCTCCCTCATTTGCTCTACGAGATGACCACTACCCAGAAGTTATTATTCCATGTTTTTGTATTTATATATAATACTGTTTTGTTTTTAATCTCTAAGAAATATTATCACACTATAGTCTACTTTTCACTTTAGTTTAATATCATTTTTCCTATTAACAGATGTAAAGTTCAATAATGGCTAAATAACATCCCATTTCATGATTCTACCACAGTTAATCAATTCACTCACTGCCCTCCTAGTGAATATTACGATGGTTCCAACATTACACTATGAAAACAATGCTGCAATTCTCACACGTGTCTCCTCATGTGTAGTTGCTAGATTTTTCTCTTTATAATTAAGAGTAAAATTACTGCATTTGGAGTATCTTGACTTTGCCAGATATTAACAAAATGCTTTCCAAATGGTTACTCTAATGTCCATTTCAAACAAATGTAGCAGAGTTCAGACTTTTCTGTTTCCTTACTAAAAGGAAGTATTGTCAGAATATTGAGTTTCTGCCAATCAAAAAGATTATTCTTTAATTTGCATCTCCTTGATTATTAGTGAGAACTGGCAACTCTAACCATCTCATTTGCCATTTGGGCTAAGTTGCTCCTTCATTTTGATCTCCTTTTTTAATAGGTTGTCTTCTCCTTATCAGTTTAAATGAGTTTTTCATATATTAATTTTTTTGGTATTTTAATCAGCTTTCAGTTGATTGTGTGGCAAAATCTCCTATCAACCAGGGACTTACCTCTTTTATTTACAACACATTTTGTTATAGAGAAGTTTTTACTTTTTAAAATATTTTTTATTTTATTTATTTTTTAGTTGTTATTTATTTTTATGTGGTGCTAAGGATCGAACCCAGGGCCTCACACATGTGAGGTGAGCGCTCTACCACTGAGCCACAATCCCAGCCCCTAGAAGTTTTTACTTTTAAAAAGAGAAAATTTATTGATTCCTTATAGCTTGTCCTTTTTGTATCTTTTCTCTCTCCACCCATCCGCCCCAGCCTTGTGGTGCTGGAAATTAAACCTAAGGCCTTGCTCAGGGTAGGCAAACAGAATATCGTTTAGTTACACCCACAATTTTTTTTTTTAACAAAAGTTTATTCTTAAATTTACAACAGACTCCACACAACACTTCATTGTAGCTATAGGTGGCAAAAGATATTACAGTGGGGGTACTGGTGTTTCATAGGAATGGAATTAATAGTCACCATCATTTCAGGCACAAGAAACGAGTTACTTTTTGCCAGATTTCTTAATTCCACCTGTGGCCAAGGGGCCCTTCCCAGTGGCCTTCACTTTTAGCTCCTCAAGTTTCTTCTGCTCTTGTTTTTGTTTCTGTTTAAAAGCCTTTTCTTCCTCATCCATCTCCTTGGACTGCTTCTTAGGCTGTTTCAGGGGCTTCTTCTTGCTACCTTCACAGTTGGACATGGTGCCTGCCACCCTCACCTCAGACCTTGATCCCAAACCTGAAACACTCACAATTTTTTGAGACAGGAGTCTAAAAGGCCCAAGGTGGCCTCAACCTCAAAGTTGTTTCATCAACCTCCCAAATAGATGAGATTACAAATGCAACTCTGCATCCAGGTTGTTTTTTAGTAAACAACAGGAAAAAACAGTTGTATTTCATTCTTAATGCATGCTTGTTTTCACTAGTCATTTTACTTCACATAAATCTTTACAATTCTTCCCTTACAGTTTTTATTACTGTCATCCTCGCTTTACAAATGATAGAACAAATGCAGAAAGATTATATAACTTGCCCAAAATCATAATTAGAATATGATAAAGATTTAAAAGCAGGCAGTCTGGCTCTAAAGTTTATTATCTCCTGGTAGTTTTTCTTTAAATACTTCTTTATGCTGAGGACATAAAGTTATCCTATATTTTCTTACAAAAGGCCTAGGTTTTCTGGGTTTTTTTGTTTTGTTTTGTTTTGTTTTTAGGTCTTTAATTCACATAATCTATTTTCAGGCTATTGTAAGACAGGGCTCTTAATTATTTCACTCCAACTCAAATTAACAATTAACCAGCACCTAATAGTCAACTCTCTGTGCACTGATATATAATGCCACCTTTGCCGCCTTTGCCATATACCTAACAATGTGTTCTGGGTTTTATATTCTGTTCCACAGCTGTATTTGTCTATCCCTGAGCCCATCTTAATTATCACAATTCTATAATAAATTCTCATATATTAAGAACATATCTCCAAAATTTGGTGTTTTTCACTTTGGCTATTTACCATAATAATTTCAACATAAGTACGTTTACTACCATGAAAAATATATTTTGACATTTTGAAATTGCATTTTTATAGATTAATATTGGAAAGAACATTATTGACTTTTCCCACTCATGAACACTATGTTGTTGGTGTCTTCAGCTGCTTTAACTGCAGATTTCTTTCACTTCTAAAATTTGTCATTTTCATATCCACCTGATCTTTTCTCTACCTACTTAAATTTCACAACTGTTTTAATATAAGGGCTATTACTCTCACTCATTTTTTAAAATTCTAAATATAAAACTTAATATTTTTAGGACTAATATTTTAATATCATCCAGACTGAATTGCTCTTCTGATTGCTGATTTTTGTATCTTTGTTAGCACTAGAGATGGTCTCTTATGTTTGAGAATTTATATTTGGAGGTATACTTCAGATGAAACTTTCATTTTTCATACAAACACTGAGAATCCACTTACTATTTTATTTCAAACAATGACACTACCATAATTGAACCTTTAAAAAGTAACTTTTTTTTTTTTTTTTGAGACAGGGTCTCACTATGTTGTCCAGGGGACTGTGAACCCATAATCCTCCTGTCTCAGCCTCCCAAGCAGATGAGATTACAGGCATGTTCCACTGCATCTAGCTTAAAATTAATGATTTTTAATATTAATCAATATTAAATGTTCCCCAATTATCCCAAAAAAATATTTTTAAAAGTTATTTAAGTAGAATCAGGAGTCTGCTCTGCTATGTTTTTGTTCTCCTGAATCCCTAAGAATAAGGCTTCACGGAAGCAAAGTACTCCTTACAGCAGGAAGGCTGAACTCCATTACTTCAAGAAATGCACTAAATGACTACAATCTGATTCTTAAGGTTATATAATATGACAACCCTAAAACTAAACTCCTTCTTTCTCAAAAGAGGAGGGCTATCCTAAGCTGTGATTTCGAACAGTAAACCCACTTCAATTACATCTCCCCATTACCTCTAAGAAGCTAAAACCTCTTCAGCTGCTTTAACTGCAGGTTTCCAGCAACAGCCACAGCACAGTCTTCTATTCCCACTTATGTTAATATAATTTTCTTTTGTTATTGTATTAAGTCATGGCTTTGTGTTTGAATTTGCCTAAAATTATAACTCACAAATCCATATTAATGTCAAGTCAGTCTTTGCTAAGCTGATTGAAAAAAAATCTATATTTGTAATTTCCAAACTTAAGCATTTGTTAGCATCATCTGGGGAACTTTTTAAAAAATATACATTTCCAAGGGAAATCTAGGCAACTCTGTTATTCATAGTCCAGAGAACAGAACATGGAAATGACTATATTTCCAAGTATTTAAGAACCCACACACAGCTCCCCTTCTCAATACTCTTTGAAATAGTCACCAATTATCAAAGAGATGCTAAATTCAGAGGCCTTTTATTCATCTTCACACAACATAGCATATGTCTAAAGGCAATTAACTTCTGATTCTTGAACTGCTCTCACATGAAGATTATTTTTCATGTAATCTTCCTAATTGGCTTTCTCTGATTTACTTTTTTTAACTCTTTATCCACTATTCATTTTGAAAGTTAAAATACTCTCCAAGAATCTAGCTGACATTTTTCTACCTAGATGACTTTATCTATCCTTCCTTCTGTAATTCATTCCTTTACCTATTATCTATGGATGATTTTGCATTTACAATGGCAAAATTGGGTAGTTAGGAGAGAGACCATATGGTCTACAAAGCTAAAAATTTTACTATATGGCTCTTGACAGAAAAAATTTGCCAGACCCTCTGCTAGGATAGCCACTTAACTAAAATAATAATAATAATTATTATTATTATTATTATTATTATTATTATTATTATTATTATTTACAATAGAGTGAAAACAATTAAGTAAAAATAATTCAAAAGAAAGCAAGAAAGGGGGTTAGAACAGATGAAACAATATAAAACAAATATTTTTAATAATTAAATGTACCCATAATTATATTAAATGCAAATGTTCCTGTTAAAAGACAAAGATTATCAGACCAAATTTTTGAAATCCAGCTATGCCACTGCCAATAGACACAAATATATAGCACAAGACAGAAAAATCTAGATGAGGAAATATACCATGTAAAAACTAGCCAAAAGAAAGTTGGTATAATTGAAATATCAATCAAAATAGGGAAAAAAAAAAAAGTTGAGCTGACTATCCCAGAAATCCCTTTTGGCCCTTATATACCATTATTCAAGGTTCAGGTCTGAGACAAAGGTCTCCAGATACCACTGTGGCCTTGGAAAGAGGTAGGAAACAGAGAAAAACTTTAATAAGAAGTTAAGGCAGAAGAGATAAAGTGGCAAATAAGTAGACGAGCAAGTGCTGACCAAATCTGCTATCCAGAAAAGGAGGAGAAGCAGTTTTAGTGAAATATTTATTAGTAAGGCTTAGGAACAAAATCAATGATCACACACAGGAACAAGTACAGAAGAAAAACTTGAAAACTGAAGAAAGAGGTCTAACTGATGAATCAATGTTCTCTGGTAACTAAGATTAAATAAGATTTAGATCAAGGGGCTAGGTTGTAACTCAGCAGTGGAACACTTGGCTAGCAAATGTAAGGTCCTGGGTTCAATCCTCAGCACCACACAAAAATTAATAAACAAAGTTATTGTGTACAACTAAAAATAATATTTTTTTTTAAAATTAGATCAAAGGTTGATAGATGCTTCTCAGAAAAAAAGACTATTTCTTTTACCAAAAGAATAAAAAAGAAACAAAATGAGAGGAGAAACAGATTTTGACATGTGACAAGAGTGCCTATCAGTTGATCTTCATTACTGATAAGATACATAACAATAGATGAATGCCAGGTAAAAACTAGATTGGTAATGAATGAGGATACATTTCATAGGTTTCAACTGAAGAAAAGTGATGGTAGAAATTAATTATCACATGACACAACAGCATAGGAATATCAGGTTAGCCTGCCCAGTAAGTAACCTTCTAGTAAAAGTACTATTTTCCTTCAAAAGACTCTCTCTTCTTCCTAGTCAAATGACATAGTTTAAAGTCTTTCAACAGTTTGAATGGACAGATCTCATCCTCCAGATAGGGGAAATTAGCTGTGACCCAGGCTGAGCCAATCACTTTATTTTGTTTTGCCCAGCCACAGTGGGTAGTCACTAAAATTCTGTACTAGAACTTCTCCTGCAATTATTGGGAAAGCAGCATTTTTCCACTAGGGCTAGTAAGCTAGAGAGATAAGGCTAGAGATGATGTCTTCCATCTATCCTCAATGCATAGAAGCTTCTCTATAATAAAAGAAAATGAAAGTAAGACAAAGAATATATTTAGGCCAATGAATTCAGTAGTAGTTTAAATAAATTCAACCAGTAAACTTCCTTAGTAAGTATGCCAATTAATTCCTTTCTATTTCCTGAGCCAATGTGAGACAGATTTCTCTATAATCAAAAGAGAACCTACTGTAACAGGTAGCATTTCATGTAATACCCTTTGAGAATATAAGTATCCTGTTATCCAAATTCCTGATGTCCAAAAAAAAATCTCACAATTTTAAACTCAAGAACCAAATATACTTGAGTAAAATTCTGAATATTTCCTTTACTATCTTGTTATTTTCTATTCAAACTTGGGGAGTCAAATAGATTCAAGCAAGGCAGTAACCCCTCACACTGCAATTCATCACCCAAACTGAAGAATTAAACAGATTTGGATAATGAGATTTTTACGACCAGGATCTTATGTCAAAAAACACAGAAAATTTACTGTTTTCACCAAAAATAAGTTTGACATACATTGCCATTTAAGTTGAACACTGATTTTCCCAGGAGAGAATAAATTATTACATTCCAAATCCAAAAATTTAGGCCTGAAGATTAAAAAAAAAATTCTTTGAGGATTTACTTTATGATGAATTAATATGGCATTTCAAGTCAACAGGAAAAAATATTAAAACGATGTGGGATAACTGAAAAAAGCAATGCACATAAGAAATTAAACCCACTACTAACACTTATATAGCAATCACATTTTACTATATTTTTTTATAAAGAAAACTATTAAATATTCTTTTCATTCCCTCTCCCAATGAAGTAACTTCAAAAGTATATGTTAACAGAGGGGAACAATGTGGTGAGACAGTTGCTGTGGTCAGTAGGGTGTGGTTCAGAGTAGGCCAGTTTATGATGTTATTCACTGGACTGAGTAAGGATGGACTAATTATAGGGGAAAACTGTGGTGAAAAATGAGAACAGTGAATACAAAGTTTCCTTTAAATTAGAAGTTCAGTTTAAAAGACAAAAATGAAGTAACTAAAGTTTCTAATGGAGTGATTCTGTTAGTAAAATTTGGTTTTCAAAAAATATATTAGTTTTTACTTCTTTTTCAAGTTCTCAAGGTTATTTTCCAAGGAAAAGAAAACATCCTTTCTTTTTATATTTGCTTTAT